GTTAGCTATTAATTGTAGATTTTTTCCTTTTTTTTATATATATATATTTTTTTGAGAGAATTGAAATGTCTTTTTTTGAAAAATTGGTGATTGACTAATTTCAATAGTGAAACAAGTAAGGACAATACCGATTTCTTCTTTTTTTTGTAGTTTTAACCACCCAACACCCGTCTCCACCTGAAATCCACCCCTCTCTCCACAACCTAGCATACTGAGCGAACCAGGGACCGCTACCTTTCCCCAAAAATCTAGTTTCCTCCTTTTTTTTGTACGTTTTAGTTTTTCGACTTAGTAGAGTTGATTTTGTGGATTCGTCCGGTTTGGTAATTCCGGTTAAAAATTACCTGGCGCCCATGGATTTTTTTTTTGCATTTTGAGTTTAACTAGATGAAGGGGAAGAAGGGCGAAGGTAATAGACATTTTTGACCCCCATACGAAAATGTCACGTTACAAATGGCGCCCAACGTAGGGCTCCGAGGTTATTGGGTGCAAAAATTTTTTTGGTCAGTTAAATTTTTTTTCGTTTCTTTAAGAAATCTTTTTTTTTCGGTTTTGAACTTTTGCGAATTTGAGAGTTTTTGGGATTTTGTTGTATCGCGTTTCATTTGACCCCACTCAAGATGAGGCTTCGAAATTGCGGCTTAATTCCATTTCTCTCGTATTTTTCGATCCCGTGATGATCTCATCGCGCCGGAATTTTGTTTTTCGGGATTATGACTTAATTCTTATTTCTCTCTTAGTTTTNGTGGACTGAGGCCCATGATTTCGCCTTCACCGCATTGAAGTTGCATCTAACGTCTTCACCGACGTTAGCCTGTCCTGACTTTGGGCTACCTNGTCGCCTGTTACCAAGCCGATTTATTTTTATGGGAGTGAGAGAGATGGTTGAGATTGAGGATTACGTGACATCACAATGATGTCATCGGTTAGGTTTAATCCGAGACAAATAAGGAATTTTATTTGTCTCGGTTTTCCCTTGGTAACAAACCAAGCGGCGATTTGTCGAGAGTTTTGGGCAGCAACAGTCGCCTGTTGCTAGGGGAGGGTCACGTGATCGATTACGTGATCCCTGCCTTATGTTATTTCCCCTTCCTTTCGTCAAATGTTCCGCGGGCTCCCTACTCAGGAAATTAGTCCGCAGTAGGAGGGGAGTGAACCCCCACTCTACTCAGGCGGTATATAGGGAGGCCTCCGGCCCGAGTCCGACTACTACGTTTACGGCTCCCAAAGTGATAAGTTCTATTTGAATTCGGAGTTGAGGAATTTTATTTTTGATTTTATTATTGAGTTATTGCGTTTTCGGACTTCTTTACCTTTAGATCAATTTTGAGTTTTGAATCCGTTTGAGTTGTGCCGAGGCCTAGTGAACCCCTCCGGATTATTTGATTATTTCGGATTAATTCTTCGATCTTATTGGACAACTTCAGGCATTCAATCCCAAATGATNGTCAATGGGGAAAAACGAGTAATCGCCTACGCGAGTAGAGCGCTCACTTCCGCTGAGAAGAAATATACAGTCACTGAACTGGAATGTCTCGCGGTTATTTGGTCTA